TGCCTTTACTTCTCCTATAGAAAGAGGAGACAGGCAGACAGCCAAGGAGTCAGCTTCAATATTGTCTTTAATCTCATGGGCTCCATGAGCAACTTCCCAACTTCCTACTTATCGGTGTCTTCCACAGTGAGGACATTGCCGTCCACAGGTGGTGAAGGCTGAGAAGACTCCCCTTCCTCCTGATGAATGAACTTTTTCAGGGAATCAGGAAAGGCTTCCTCAGATACTCATTCCTACTTTATGATAGGGGAATCCATTTGCCTCAGAGCTCAGTGAGGTAGAGGTAGAGGGGTGGTCCACTGCAAATCCAATCAACGTTTGCATTCTGTAAATAAGCAGGGATGGTTATTTGGCCATTTGGGATGTCCTTGGGAATGGACTTTAATTTAGGCAGTCACAGTAAACCCCAGCCTCCCTGATGACTGTTGAGACGTCTACTACCAGACGAATTGGTTTTTCTTTATTGGGGGTCTGCTTTTTCTCAGTGTGTGTGTGTGTGTGTGTGTGTGTGTGTGTGTGTGTGTGTGTGTGTTTTAATCATGTCTTGTATTGGGTAGCAAGCAATTTCACTGTAACGGGTTTAGGTATGTACTCATTTATTTTTCTTAGGACTTGCTGAGATTCCTGATTCTGCAGACTCCATTCTTTCATAAGTCATGGGAAAAAATATTCATTATTTCTATGAATATTGCCCCTCTTCAACTTTTTCTTTCTGTTTTCTTTATTTGGTTCTCTAATTAGCGATAGGTTATTTCTATCAGGTAATATGAAGTTTACCTGTTAGAAATACCTTCATCTCTTTTTGCTCCATATGGGATAAATTAGTCAAATCTCTTCTACCACACATTATTTCTTTATTCATGAGCATCCTATATGCTGTTCCTCTCATTTGAATTAGCCCAATTTCAATGATACCTTTTTAACAGGTTCCATTTTTTTTTCCCCAGAATCTATCTTGTATTTTTGAAGCATCCTTTGTCTTTTCTAATAACAATATTTCCGTTTTTAAATGTCTTTAAGCATTTTAAGCACGCTTGTTCCACATGAATTTGGGGACTGGGGACGTAAGGAGCTCGTTTTCCCAGAGGAGTGTGCGTGTGTTTCCAGCAGGGATGCCAGGCTTCCCAGACTCGATCATCTCCGTCACAGCCCCCACCGTTTAGGGGTTAGGTCCGTGGTTACAGTTGGAGGAAGTTCCTGCCACCTGTGTTTGACATAATCCGCACTCATACCCACGCAGACACAGCCTGGAATTCGTTCCAGCCCCCTGAGGTAGCAGGCAGGTGGTTTTCTTGCATACTTTTCCGTGAGGGTTTAGCCCAGCCAGGGCCAGGCTTAGTTGGATAGGTAGAGAAGAAGATGGGTGTAAGTTTTGATTTCTGACCCAAGGATTCAAGGACTCAACTTCTGTCTCCTGTGGTGATTGCCCCCAACCCCTCGGTGCACAAATCGGAAAAGCATTCCTGTGTCTTCCAGTATCTCCCAACACTCAGCTCCTCACTCTCCTGAACTCAGCCAAGCATTCAAATAATGCTTGTAGTCATGCACACAGGATTTCCAGGAGGTGTCAGAGGCAGTACCTTCAGGAGACCTGCTACCACAGTCAAAGGTGAAATAAAAGGAAATGGTTATAATTATTTTCTGTAAGGATCTCTGCAGAATTTCTAATGATACAAACACATTAATAGCATGTAATTCTCAAACTAAATAAAACAACCACTTTCTTAATGGATTATATTTTCTTCTATGAGTAATTATACTTTTATAAAATATTCATTCTGAAGTTAAAAAAAGAGCATTTTTCTATTTATATGAAAAGCCACATAGGATGATTACCCTTATTTCATAATTTAATGGATTAATCTAATTGATTTTATTTTATTCTGGCAATAATGCCTTGAGGTAGGTTTCATTTTGTTTTGTTTTCCAAGAGAAAAAACTGAAAGTCAAAATGAAAAGAGAAGCTTTCATTTTCAAAATAAAATAAAAAATTGAATAAAAATGTGCAATTCTTTCAAAATTCCAGTATTTGCAAAGGCAAAGGTAAGGTGTGAACCAAGGTTGTCTAAATCCAAAGTCAATTCTTCTTTCACCAGTGAATTTCAAAGGGAGACTCCTGTCGCCCTCCATCAGGAATCCCCTGACACTCCAGGGACTCCTGAGCAGACCTACCCAGGCACCATGACTAGAGATGAGAATGGAAACACCTTTCCAAAGGTCTTCAGGGAAATCCTTTTCCACTGAAGTTTGATAAACGTTGCATGTTCTCTTTAATTAGAGACTTTATATGAGTGTAGTCAAATCCTCTGGAGAACATCAACTATGACTACACCCCATTATTTTGTTCAAGATGCAGAAAACAAATATAAGATCAATAGTATGTGGAAGACACAGGAAGTCAGAGTGAGGCTGGTCTTCTATGGACAGATGCAGCTTGACAAGACACAGAGGGACTCATGCGGGTGGATTCCTTCGGATTCTGCCACTCATCTCTGCCAAAATTTTGTTCCCATGCTTGGCATTTTCTCATGCCTTTGAATTTTTACCTAATCTGATAGCCTGGAGTACTTCAGATGTGAGCCAAGAAAGGACGGTGGGGTGAGTGGCCAGAGAATAAGACAGAGGTGACAGGACAGAGAACAGAGGAGGGAGGCGGAGCTTCCACAGGATGACCCTAGTCCACAGAATCAGAGGGTGAACCGCCACCTTGAGAAATTGCCTGCTCTGTCTGAATCTTCACCTCCTCATTTGTGTAATGGGGATTAAAAACCATTGCCTTGAATAAGAAAACCGATGGAAAGCGTTTTGAGGAGAATGGGGTAATGATGCTGATTGTGTCCTTGTAGCAAACAGGAACACAGTGTGGTAGTGAGGACGGCAAGGACGCCATCTCCCCAGGCTGAGACTAGCCAGGGGAAGGAGAGGCTGCCAGGGTCTTTACCCGAGGCCTTGTGGTATTAATCACACAGAGGCTTCCCAGAACCGTCTCCATGTTCAGCACTGCTCACCTGCCTCATTTTATCCTGAGCTGCACCAAGCTACACACGAGGAAGGGTCAGACATCCCGAGTTTGAGACAGGTGAGAAGCTCGTGATAAGCCCCTTATTTGCATTCACAAGACCTAACTTCCTGGAGCCTGGGGCATATAAACTATGGTATACAGCACAGAGCATTACAAGAGAAAGTGTTCTTTGCCAAGCCTGGGAGAGGAAAGGCATTCCGAGTGGAGGGACACACGCAGAGTTGGAAAGGGCTGAGGGCAGCCTCTTGGTGACGGGCCACAGGTGTCGAAGAGACGGGGGTGGTGACTAGGAGTCTGCACAGGTGCATGGAGTGGTTGAAAGCACATTTGCAAAGTCTCGAGGGCCGTGCTGAGAAGCCTATTCTATGAGTGCTGAAAAACAAGAGCTCTATATGTGAAAAACCAGTCTGGGGTCAGAGCGGAAGACACGGGAGAACGAGGGGGAACCTGGCTGTAAGAAACCCATTCGGTGCAGGGAAATTACACTGCCAAGAAGTGATGAGTACTTAAACTTGGGCAATGGTAGTGGGCATGAGAGGAAAGGGGGGTTCTAGTAATGTTTCAGCAGCAGAAGCAGCAGGATTCGGAAAACAAATTAAGGGGATATAGGGATTTCGTGTGTGTGTGTGTGTGTGTGTGTGTGTGTGTGTGTGTGTGTGTGTTGGATTTCTACTTTGGCCCAATGATGAGAATGTCACAGATTACACATAGGTAATTTGGAGAAGAAGCAGGTTGTGAAGGGAAGGTCAGAAGTAGAGCAAGCAATGACACTCACTTTCTTTGGATGGTTGGAGGTTGTGGTGCCTGCAGAACGGGACAGAGCTGACCGGCAGGCTTTGAAAGCGTCCAGGGTTCAACAGAGAGGGATGAGCTGCCTGTCAGGGTTTCATAAACACCAGCGTACAATTGGAAGTTAAAGTCTTAGGTGTTACGATGGTTCAGTTGATGATGTGTCTGGGCTTAGGGATGCCCAGATACCTGGTGAAACTTTCCTACTGAGCATATCTGTGAAGGTGCTTCTGGAAGAGATGGGCACTTAATTCAGTAAGCTGAGCAAAGATCGCCCTCACCAACGTGAGTGGGCACCATGCAATCTGCTAAGGGCTTGAATAGAACAAAAAGGCAGAGGAAGGGTGAATTTCCTTTCTGCTCGACCCGAGACATCCATCTTCCCCTGTCCTTGCATGTCAGTGGTCCTGGTTCTCAGTCCTTTGGGCTTGGACTGGAATCACATTACCAGCTTTGCAAGGCCTCTAGCTCTGAGGTGGCAGACTGTGGGACTTCTCTGTCCCCGCCATTATTTGAGCCAATCCCTCATCATAAATACCTTTTTGTATATCCCTATATGTGCTATTGATCCTGTTTCTCTGGAAAACTTTAATACAGGTGTCAATGAGAACATCCGGGAGAAAGGCAATTGGAGGAATTGTGAAACATGGCCAGTCCTAAGAAGTGGACAACACGTGAGTCTGATCAAATCTCCTCTAAGAAGAAAGGTCCACAGTGGAAAGAGGCAAGACAGAAGATGCCGTAGAAGGGATGAGTCTCTGGGTGTGTCACACTTGCCCTTCTAACCACTGCTCAGCCCTGGGCATGGAGAAGGGATGGGGAAGAGCTTGGCATATTCCAGCTCTGACCTAACGCCTCGGCCAGTCCTGCCTCATGAGGCCCAGCCGGAGGCAAACCAGAGAAAGCCACAAATCAGCAAGAATGAGCGCTTTTCCTGCAGAGAGAATTCTGCTGGGACCCTACGAAATGGGTTGTGTGTGTGCGCATTGGGACATGCATGGTGTGCATGTGTGTGTGTACACATGCCTGTTTAGTTTGTGAAACTGAACCCCTGATTTCAAGCCTTGTTTTACCATGAAATTGAACAGATTGCCGCCCAGAGATAAACAGGTCCAGCCTGGATGTTTGATGGCTTTGTCTCTACCTACCCATCACCTGTGTTCTAAGGAATGTTACGCACCACCTGAAAACTCAGCTCTTTCTTGACAGATCTTCTTTTGTTTCATTGTTGGTTTGTTTGTTTCCAGCCACCAGACTAGTTGACACTCTGGGAGGTGATAGACACATTTTGTTATCTGAAAAAGAGAGAGAACGATCAGCTCGCTGTCCTGAAAATAGTTAAAAAATGATCATAACTGTGTACAATTTATTTGAAATGCTAGAAACCATCAGGCTTTTTCAATGTGCAATTTTTTTTTCTGAATACCTTCAATTGAATCATATTTTTGCTATTAAGTGCAGATTTTCAAAGTGGAATTACGAGTGTCTCTGTTTTTCTTTAGGCAGTGGTGATAAATCTGTGCCTTCGAGTCTTTTATCTGAATGATTAAAATGATATAATAAAAATGACCTCTCAGCCCTATAGACCCAGTGAGCTTTGGGCTGAAAATGGAATAATCAAATAATCAGAGAACAAGCACATACAGAGTTCCTGAGCAAGCAAGACCAGCGCAGAGTGAAAGGTGACGTCAGAGACAATGTGGGGAGACAGAGGCAGAGGGGATCACAGCCTCCAGCACCAAGTGCAAGGTAGGACCAGAGATCACATGTGTGACAAGGAGACGCCTTGCATGGTGGGTGGGGGAGGCATAGGGGAAGCGGCTGAGGAGAAGGCCAGGCTTGGAGGGGCAGGTGTCTAACGGGAGAACCCATCAAGGGGCAGTTTCTTGGGAAGAAACCACTTCACACTGTTCCAGTTACAGCATCTCAGGGCATGGATTCATTTTTCAAGAGAAGGAGCTGAGACAAGGATCTCTGACTTGCACTTTCTTTTTTCTTTTCCTTTTTTTTTTTTGTTTTTGTTGTTGTTGTTGTTGTTGTTGGATGGAGTCCTGCTCTGTTGCCCAGGCTGGAGTACAATGGCATGATCTCGGCTCACTGCAACCTCCGCCTCCCAGGTTCAAGCAATACTCCTGCCTCAGCCTCCTGAGTATCTGGGATTACAGGCACCTGTCATCACACCTGGCTAATTTTTCTATTTTTAGTAGACACAGAGTTTCCCCACGATGGTCAGGCATCTTGAACTCTTGACCTCAGCCTCCCAAAGTGCTGGGATTACAGGTGCGAGCCACCACACCAGGCTCTGACTTACACTTTCTTTGTAGTCCTGCACAAATTGCTCATGACCTTAGCTATCCTGTTCATAATATGGGCCACTTCTTCAACAGGGCACAAGGCTGCAAAGGGATGGGTCGCTGGGAATCAGCCACTGATGTCTGGATAGTTTGAGCCCCTTTGGGCGCCAGAGGAACCTGGGCCAGGCTAGTTTCACTGCAGCCTCCTTGAGTTCTGGAGACAGCAGGCCCAGGAAGGAGAGGGAAACAGCACGTTCAGAACCCCCTGGAAGGCGTAGGAACATCTGGGAAGAGGGTAGGGGACAGGCCCTCAAGCAAGGCCCCCACACAGTTCTGACAATTTCCAGGGTGGCAGATGACAGGGCATGGGCTCGCGCCTGCTGCAGGCCCATGTGAGCGGGACCAACTGGCAGAACGGAATACGTGCTGAACCCCCTAAAATAACAACCACCGCAGGCACACCAAACAGAACTGGGTTGTTCGGCAAACAACATAAGCCCACGTCACCACCCTTCATTGTTTGTTACATGCTGCCGCAGAAAATACAATTATTTTGGTAGAGGGAAATATTGTGTGTCCCGACTCTCAGGCACAGACGCAGTTTGGGTGATAAAACAGAGTTGAGGTCACTAAAGGGGCCTCTGGTCTTCACAGCCTTGTGTCCAGGGCTGGCCGTATGCCTGATGTTCTTAGAGTGAATTCTATGTATGACCTTCTCCCTTTGATAAATGAAATTGCTTGGCTCACACACTTTTTAATGTGGTTTTTATAGAATCTTTCAGAGCAAGGGAGAAAGAGAAAGAGCGAGCGAGTCTGTGGCTGCCTTTCTTGAAAAATCACTGTGGGCCACAGCGGAACTCTGAAAGTAACAGTGTGAAGTCATTCTGGTGCTCGCCGTTTGGGATGGCAGATGGGAAGCAGGTGCATTTCTGCAGGATGAGCTGAAGAAGAGGGGCTTAATTAAAGAACACGCTCACGGCATCCAAAAGATCTTGAATTGCCACCGTGTGGGCCTGCCTTTCCCCTTCCCCAGAATCTTTTTAACTCTTTTCATGGTGGGTCATTGTCCTCCCTGCAGCCCAAAGCAATGAGGCTGGGGTTATTATTTTTCTCGTGGACAAATGGCTCTGCGGAGCTGGCTGCCGGGCCAATGGAGCCTTCTGTGGCCACTGCAATTGAACTGGCTCTCGGGGAAGGGGCCTCAGCTGCTGCCTGTCTCTAATTGTTGCTGGGACCCAGCCTTCTGGTCAGCTCTGGTCCTGCCTCTGCTGTCTACACTGCCTGTTTTTTCTCCCAGCTTGCAGATATGAAGCTTCCTTTTGTCCCTCAAGGTACTGCATTTTCACGTCCCCTGCAAATGCAGAAGTTGGTCTTTTCGGTTTTGTGGAGTCTCTGTGGGCCTCTGTGCCTTTGCTCACTTCTGCCTGACAGGGAGCTTCTTGTCACTCCTCTCCAGCCTGCCTATGTGGGTGGCCTCATGAGCTCTGATTCAAAAGATGACAAGGGAGCACTGGAAGGACCCCCGGAGGCCCTGGGCCTGCCCTCTGGGTGTCAGGATAGGAATGTTTGGGGTCAGGAGAGGAGACACTTTGCATGACTGAATTTGCAGCAAATCCAGGCATATACCGAAGAATGCTGATTCCCAGGGCCTGAAATGGGGGGATGTTCTCAACAGAGGAAGAGTGGGTCCCCCTCAGTCCTGACTGGGAATCCAAGGGACTGGGAGCCACCCTGAGGGAGAAAGGCTGCAGTCACACCCGGCGCTAGAGCCTGGATCAGGGCTACACTGCATCCAAGAACAGGACAACTCCTGCCGGGCTGGCCTCTAGACCAAGCGAAGTAGAAATAGGAAAAGCGCCCCTGCCTCCCGTGAGCAGCGTTTCTGGAGGCGCTGGTGGGGAGGGAGGTGAAGGTGCCAACTCACACTTCCCTCCAGGACCTGAACGTCACAGAAGGCCCTACCGATGCAGCTTCCATATTTCACTGCCTAATTTTGGATTCTTTATGACAGCTATATATATATATATATATATATTTGTTAAGCAACTGTTTATGACTGATACCCAGAGAAGTGACGTAATCTGTCTAAGGTTGCGTAACTAATTAGTGGCAGATCTAAGACCCTGTTATATCATTTTCTTATTTTAAATCAATTGCAAAGTTTTGCAAACCTTTCAAATAAGCACATCTCTGGCATTGAATGACCTTTTTATGCTTAGTTCAAGAGAGTGTACTTGATTTAAATAAATATTAAGGGCGTGAAATACATTGATATACACACGAAAGTCTGTTTATAGCTCCTATGTATTAAGCTCCTACTGTGTGCTATGTATTTTTTTTTTCTGCATAAACAGCATGCTCTACTATAACCCAGCAAGGCAGGCACTGTTACCCCTGTTCTGCAGCTGAAGAAGCTCTCACTAAGAAGAGTAACATACCAGAGAAGCTGGGAAAAGATCATGCACAAAGCAAATAAGGAAATGAGAAGGAATGCCCAGATCCGCCTGGCTTCGAAGCCGGTGGTAGCAATTTCCCTGGTGTGAAAGAGCTCATCCAGGGATGAGGTTTATTTATGAACAAAAGAGAAACCCCACCGAATCATTCCTATAGATTTTTCTTTTTTAGTCTAAGGAGTGGTAGGAAAAACTGTAAGGAATGGGAAATGGACAAGCAGAGCTGGCAAGTGTTCTGAAGTGAAGACCCCTCATGACAAGGGTTAAACCCTTCTCTCAGCCCAAATAGTGATTTCTGAAGCTGGGTCCCACTCAGCACGTTTTCCACAGAAACGCTGGGGAGGGAGGGGGCTTTTCCCGGGGTGGTTACACACAGCCGTCGTGGCCAGCCCAATTTGAGTTACACAGCCTGTACACGCACACTCTCACACTGGTGATTCTCAGGCTGTTCGTTCAACCATCCATTGAGTTTGACATCATAGATGGGGGTTGCAGGGTGCGCAAGGGAATCATGTGATTTGCAGAGAGGAAAAAGTGTTTGTTGTACATATACTTCCTGTCTTTATTTTCATTATTCTTTTTCACTCAGCACTTCCAATTTCCACATATAAACAGAGTCAGTGGAAAGCGTTTATTATCTAAAACTGTGCTGCTGAAATTCCCTCTACTATTCTATGGGGCCAAGTTGATCAGGACCACTCCTGAATGTAAATGACATGGTCAGAGGCTCTGCAGCCCTGGGGCCCAGGGTGCATTTTACATGTGCACATAAACACACAGGACATCCTGTCTACAAACCATGTTGTCCCCCGGACTAAATATTTAAGTGTCCCCGTGGTAATGATCAGAGATAAGACTTTCACATTGTTGTGATGACAAAGGGAGTGTATGTACATTTGCATCTGTTAATAATCACCACTCTTTTAAACAGCAGTAGCACCTTTGAGCTTTTCTTGCTTATTGATTTAACCTGTACCGAATGCCCATTGTGTGCTTGTACTCACTAGGTTTTTTACCATTTAATTTTTTGCTATTTAATTCTACCCTTACACATACACATGTGATGTGTAATGCTCATTCTGCTTTGAGGATTTTTGTCACTAAAAGCTTTCCTCTATTGAGAAAAATGTGAAAATATTCCTCTCCACCCAGAGTCGACCCATTTGGAACCAGGAGCAAAGCTTCCACAGACTCCATATTTTTTTTCTTTCTTTCTATCAAGTATCCTTTGTGAGATAAAGCTCTAAGGATGGAAATTAGCTGCTTCTGTCCTGAGAATCTTCCCAACCCTATTCTTTCAAAGGGATTGTCCAGAAGTCTCCAGGACCACCACAATACAGACACGCACGGCTGGCTGAAGGCCTCGCTTCAATAGAAAGCCTTTTAAAACATGCTCCCATGGTCCTGAAAAAGGCTCTCTTCTTAGGGGCTTAGGCCCGGGGAAAGGGAGCCGGGGCTCCGGAACTGCTCGGTGCAGCTCAGGAACTGTCCTCGTCCAGATCTGAGAAGACTCCAAAGCACAGAAAATGAGGAGAATTTAAAAATCATGTTTGCTCAAGGGATGGGGAAAAGGAAGGAAACAGAAGAAGGAGGCCGGGGAAGAAATTTATAGCAGAAAGGTTACCTCGGCGATTTCTCCACTCTGGGGGTCATCCTAGAAACGTCCCTCCTCCAGGCTGGGGGTGGTGCCAGTTGCCAATAATCCTCTGTTCCCGGAAAATAAAAACCAAGCGGTTAGCAAATGTCAAGATTAAAAAAGAAAACCAGCCGAACAAGGGAACAGCCAGGATGGGCTGCTCGATGGCGCCTGCCTCGGGAGCCCCAGGTGCAATCAACAGCTCTTTAAGACGGCTGGACGTCATTTCTCTGCTTTGAAAAACCCAGCCATCTCTTGGAGAGCCAAATCGATTAGAGGCCACCTTTTGTGAAAGTGATGCTATCATTGTGGTTGTAATTTATGCAAAGACATTCTGTGGCACACGATGATTAAATTACAGTCTACGAGGCAGGATTTCTAAAGCAGGGTTCCCCCCTCCGGATTTTGCACTTTTATCGACATCAGTATCAGGTCTGCGAAAATTTGGTGCACATGCTTTTCAATCTGGATGACAGAACATTTCCACATGTTTCTGTGTATTTTTGAGGTGGAGAGAACAGGACGGCCGCTGGGAGATGCAGCCGAGCCTACCAGGTAAAGGCGATGTGCTGCTTTTACAGAAAGAAAGAAAAGCAGACAGAAAGGGTTATTTCCTAAGACAGGGGTGCGGCTGTGCAGGTGAAATAAAATAACAGAATACACGGAGAAAATAAATCCAGAAAATGAAAGCGTTGTGACCTAGCTCCCCGAACATCAGACACATCAGCGCGCAGGGCTCCGTGCGCAGGAAGGAGACTCCAAGGGCAAGCCCTGCTTCCCACCCAGACCGCGCTGGGCATCCTGCCTGCGGCCATCCCTGTGTCCACGTCGGCCACCATCTTAGTGTGGTCTCTGGACACGGTAAGATGGAGGCAGACGGGAGCCTGAGGGGCTCCCCCTGCGCGCCCCGCCGAGCCCCGCAGCCCCGCGCCCTCCCGGGTGATGCATTATTCACCGCCCTGCTCGGCGGAGTCGGGAGGAGCCAGACGGGACCGCGCGCGGCGAGAACGCACAGCCTGCAAAGCCAGCTGCACGCAGCGGCCGTCCCGGGACCCTGCCGGCACAGGCGGCCCCCCGCCAAGGCACGACAGCGTGGGGTTCCGATGGGCTATCTGCTCTCTAGAAATCTCTGCCATGTAGCCACTCTCCGTTCGCTGTTGATTCATTCCTGGGCTAGCTGCCTTTCCTCTCTCTCTCTCTCTCTCTCTCCAGATACTTGGCCCTCATGAAGAATCTGTCCGGGGAGCGCACGATGCTGCCGGTAGCTGGGATGGGGGTGGTTCCTGAGGCGCTGAGGGATCCTGTGTGGCAGGGGGCTTCTTACTCCACCCCCTTCAGCACCCTCGGAGCCTGCCCTCTGGGTCCCTAACAAAGAAGAAACCTGCCTCCTTCAGCGCCTAAAGTTGGGGGAGGTGGAGGCTGAGCTGGGAAGGAATGGGGAGCAGAGTCCGGGCTGTTTCAGACCTTCTTGGGGGACCCCAGGGAAGAAGAGCCCCGGAGGGAATCCTGGACGCAGAGTGACCTGCGGGGCCTGGGCTGCGCCTGCTGTCCATCATGGCAGGAGGAGGAGGAGGAGTGCGCGAGACGCATGTCTGTGCGTGTGTGCACGTGTGTGTGTGTGTGTGTGTGTGTGTGTCTGTGTGTGTCTGTGTGTGCGTTTAAAGAATGTTAAATCATACTGTGATCCTAGGGAATATCTTCCTAACTAGGACAGACTTGAGAATAAATAGCCCTTCCTCTCTCCCACTCACTAACACACACACACGCACACGCACACCACACACGTGCACACACACTGCTAGTTACTAAAGCTAGCCTACAGCGCAAGGAAAAGCTGACCTCGAGAAATGCAATTTCCAGTTCCAGCTGAAGCCCGCACGAGGAGGAGGCTGGGCCCCGGGCTCCAGGCGGCCTGCACACCTGAGGTGGGCCACAGGCGGGAACATCCCACAAGTGGACTTGGGTGAGGGACCCTAATGTGGCAGCTGAGGTGCAACTGAGGGGCCCAGGCGGAACCATGTCCACCGGCCATGTGTGCACTGCAGGTATCCAGCCTTGATGAAGACCATGGAGGTGTCGAGGTTTCCCATCAACCCGCGCTACACACACAGCGCCTGGGAGCTGAGAAGTGTGTTGATGCTGCTCTTTCCTCCCTCTTAAATGACTGCTATCAACACTTGGAGGAAAAGCCCAAGCTGGGCCTGAGTGAATGGAAGCAGAGCGGGCAGGCAGGACTCACTCTCAAAGTCCAAGTGTGATCGCCTGTGTAAGTGATTTCCATGCTTTCGCTCCTTAACCCCTTTTGAAATGATCTTTCTCTTCCCAAATGCACTTAGGGAAGGCAGGTACAATTATCTGCTTTCCTGTCTCCTTCCTTTATCTGGCTCTATCAGAAAAAAAAAAAGAACTCTTAGGATACAACCAAGAGAAAAGACAGTGATCAAATTATTTCCGTGAAAGAAATCCAGTTGTAAGATATAAACATATGCATTCAAATCCTGTTATGAACATAAACCTGTCTGTGTGGGTGTGTATCTGTAGGAAATACAAGATGAATACATATCAACATGGAAGTAGCAATGTCTCTTGGTAGTATGAAAATTAATTAATTATATTTGATTTTTTTATACTTTTTAGTTTTTTCCCAAGCAAGATACAATGAGTTGTTACTGCTTTTACAATCAGAAAACAATTAGCTTAAAGAAACAGACTATCTGAACAGTTACCATAAAAATTAGCAAAAATACTGTTTAAAGTTCTACTCAAGTACCTTGGTGTTCTCAGCAGGCTTTCTATCTTCTTCCCGTATTTATTCCAGTGTTTATTTTAACTCAACCCAGTCTCTCTTCTGGGCTGTGAAGGTACCTATGATATAAACGGCCAGTGATTGTCAGTGTCTGCACTTTGCTTGTGTCTTACTATATGGGAATATATGACCCCAGTATTTAGCTGGGCACATGGCCATCAGAGAATGCAACGCTTCCCAGCACCGTTGCAGCTGGGTGTGGCTTAGTGACTAAGTCCCAGCCCATCAAATATGAGCAGAGGTGGTGTGTGCAACTTTACTATATGTGTTATCAGAAGAGGCAGGTCACCCAAACCTTCCCCTCTTCTCTTCTTTATGTCTGAAATCCAACCAAAGCAGAAAGCCATTAATGACATCCGACCACTTCAGCTCCGTGGGTCCCAGTAGGCAGACTTGCTGGAGAGCTCTGCCTGACGCTGGGTGGGGAGGGGCTGCCATTCAGGACCATTCTCTACCCAGGTTTGGCATCCAGGGGACCACCTAGGTCTCTGTGTCACTACTCCTTGAGCCTTGGGGCCATATAGACAAACCGAGTCTCCTACGAACTCTACAGGGCTCTTCTCTGTAACAGTTTTTGATGTAAATTGCTCAAGAATTCCCTAGCTCTTAAATTACTCCTCAGGAATCGTCACTGTGTACCATAACATACCCAGTTTTCTTTCTCCATTTTCATCCTCCTCAAAACAACCGCTGCCAGCCCCCTTATATAAACTGTGGGAAGCGGGTGAATGTTTCACTTTTCAAAGCTCTTGGAGCCTGTCTCTGAAATGCTTCCCTACTCAGTGTATTTACCTCAGCCTGGAATTTCCTTCCCAAGTCACCTTCCTGGGTCTGCCTGGGCCAACACATGATTCGGGTTACAAGGGTCTGCAATGAGCTTCTGGTGACAGCCATTGTTCCGTAGTAACTGGCTCTCAGGGACCTGTGAAAGGACGCCCATGCTTGTTTCTCTAGAAGATTCCAGAGCTCTTCATACCATAATGGGTCCCCATCGGCCAAGACCAGAAAAGCCAAGTGAAATCTCCTATCTGAATCTCTTGCTTTTGCTCTTGAGTCAAAGCCATCGTTTTCTCCTCCTGTCCCTTCCGTGTCACCACTGATTAGGAATATCTACAAGGAGTTTAAATCCAGTTGTGCAGAACTTTGGGTTGAGGATGTCCCAGCTTTGCCTGGCCACACCCAGGCTAGGGAGACCAAGCCATGCCTCCAGCTTTGCATCTCCCTATCCAGAGCCTCCACCCCTCCCCAGAGGGATTTAGGTAGATGGCTTGCACCGTCTGTGATCATCAACTGATCCCAAACCTGTTGTAATTATTGAAAGTTTCTCTGAGTCGTGGTCGTCAAAGATTCTTTTTGAGTTCACAAATGTCCTAAACATGGGGCCCTGTGACACACCATCATGTGACACTTTCCGTGGCCTCAGACACTGATCATTGATGCAACTTCCCAGTAGGATGTCTCAGGTAAGGCTCAAATCTCTGTCCTCAGCCCAGGCTTCTCAGTTGTGGAAAACGCCTTGGATTTGGGGGAACTAGTCACTTCCACAAAGGCAGACGCTTCATTTCTGTGCCTACTATGAATCCTATGCTTCAGATGACAAGTCCTCATTCCTTGTCCCCAGGCATTCTGGCAACATGGACCCCCGTGCCATTTACCTCCACTCCAGATGAAAGCTGTAGTTTCTTAGAATGTCACACGTGGAAATGGGGCCTTAGCATCAGCTTCCACATCCTTTCTTCTTCAGGAAAATTCATCCTATGGGAAAATTCCAAATAACCTCAGAGTCCACCAGAAGATCTATGCTGGGTCATGATTCCTCCCAACTGAGTAAAATCAGATCCTAATTTCTCTTCAACCTCCTGGCTGCAAATGTATTTCAATCATGTATTCAGCCATTCCTGCTGGACTTGAACACAATTCCCAAAGGTTCTGTACAGTCCAGACATCAAAGGGAAAGTTTCTGTTCTTCGGCTCCAACTGTTCCCACGGAGGTACTCCCTGTCATTTTAGATAAGCTGACTGAGCTGAGTTAGGACACAGGGACATGTTATCACTGTCCCCAAGGACGTGACACTCAATGTCCAGGGTCCTCACATTTTTCATAACCTCTATGTACATGAGGCCGTCTTGTCACCGGTCCTTGGGGTACAACAACCACAACACCATCAACAACAAGCACACCCCCTGCACGCCCACCACCTGGCTGCTCTTCTCTCTCATCATGGAAAATTTCCCACTGTGACTCTTCCCTCCACTGGCAGCAT